AAATACAGAAGTTTTCTTACAGAATAAATGCAGCCTGCATTATGAATATACCTCTAATTGTTGGTGTTTGAGTGGTTTGATTTCTAGTAATAAATACAACATTTCTCCTACCCTTGGGAATACTCTAAGCTCCAATATGACATTGACTCATTGTTAAAATCAGCGTGGTATATTCTACAATGTGAGATAGGTACTAAGATTAAGGAAATTTTCTGTGAAGTTTTATGACATTAAGAATATATCAAGTATAAGTATTTATTCAAATTATACTCCACATCATTCTGTTAAATGATTAAACAGTGACTATTGTAGCAGGAACCTTAACAGTTCTTATTAATAAAATCAAACCTGAGGCCAGTTATTGGGCTGAATACTGGAATATCAGAGAGACAAAACAAGCCACAGCTACCTCACCTCGCCAGATCCTCAGCTGGTCTTGTTTACTCAAACTGGAGGCCTCTGAGTCCTCATCCTGAATGGGTCGCAGCTGAATTGCTGCTCAAAGCCTGAATGCTTAAACAGACCAAATGCTTAACCAGGCCAAATGCTTCTAGTTCCTGGTCCTCAAGCCTATATCTTTCTGCTTTCTACCATCACTCCCTGATATTAAAGACTCACACCCTGGGTTTAAAGGTGTGTGTCACCATGCCTGGTTCTTTCCAATGTGGTCTTGAACTCACAGAGATCCAGAGGGATTTCTGTCTCTGGAATGCTAGGATAAAAGGCGTGAGTGCCACCATTTTCTAGCCTCTGTATCTAGTGGCTGTCTCTTCTCTGACCCCAGATAAATTTATTAGAATACACAATATTTTGGGGAACACAATACTGAAAGACCCTAGCCCTTCAGGCTTACACCCCCAAACCTCAGGAAGAGAGAAACTTCAAGCACCAGGAAATGAGAAACTAAAAATCTAGTTCCAAGGCAATCTGACTCAGCCACTACTCAGTCATCCCTGTAACAATATAACAATGTTAAAAGATTTCTGTTAAGAGATGTGCTCAACTGTGACTGGGATAGTTGTAGGTGTTCCAGGAAGGACCACTGTGACCTGTGTGTAAACTCCACTCCTGCCCTGATACCCCCCTTGAGGTTGCAGGAAGAATGTGCATGTGAACGTGACTGTACCCATTCTGTGATCACACTGTGATCAGGCCATGAAATTGTATGGCAATTGTAATCTTGTGGGTTTTGTGGGGTTTTCCTTTAAAAGCCCTTATGGGGCTGCAGTAAGATGCGACTCTGGCTCTTGGGAGCAGAGGAACCCTTCTATATAGAAGCTTAATAAATCCTCATGCTGTTGCATCAACTGGACTGGAGTCTAGGTTCTTGGGGTGCCCACTTGAGACCCTGAACTTTGGGGTCCAGCAATATCACTACAGACAGTAATCTTCAATAAAATTGTTGTGAATGTGTATGTGTGATATATTTCAGGTTTAAGTTCTGTAGTTAAAAGATCCTGTGTCTCAAAGTTACATTGGATCACACTGGGCATTTGTATTACTTTCACTCTGAAATGAATAATATGTGAAGGTTTAAAGGTGTGGATGATTTTTTTGTGACATACAGATATTTTTTCTTTATATTATTGAACTCAAAACAGTTTATGAAAGGCAATTCAGCTGCCACAGGGATTTAGCATTTACATTAACTTGAACAGAACACCCATTTTAGCTGTTGCAAAAGTATTTATGTAGATTACTTGAAGAGTCATTTTGCCAACTTTGGAGATGTGTTAAAAAATATTAGGCTACCTTATGTCTAGCCTGAAATTCACTTAACAGTATTTGATGAATAATTTACATATTTCTTATTATTCCTCATATGTATATCTCTCTACATAATCAGTTTATAGAAATCATACAGCCACAGTTCTCAACATGTATGTTATGATCATTTTGGGGATACAATGACCTTTTCACAGGGGTTATCACAGACCATCAGAAATATCAGATATGTACATTAGAATTCATAACAGGAACAAAGTTAAACTTATGAAATAGAAGGAAAATTAATTTTATAGTTTAGGGTCCCCACTGGATCAGGCCCTCCGAATGGGTGAGACAGTTGATTGGCTTGATCTGTTTGGGAGGCATCCAGGCAGTGGGACCAGATCTTGTGCTCATTGCATAAGTTGGCTGTTTGAAACCTGGGGCCTATGCAGGATTGTTTGGCTCGGCCTGGGAGGAGGGGACTAGACCTACCTGGACTGAGTCTACCAGGTTGACCTCAGTCTGTGGGGAAGGCTTTGCCCTGGAGGAGATGGGAATGGGGGGGGTTGGGGGGAAGGTGAGGGGGACGGGAGGGGGGAGAACAAGGGAATCCGTGGCTGATATGTAGAACTGAATTGTATTGCAAAATAAATAAAAATAAATTTTAAAAAAATGAAGAACTGTATTAAAATGTCACAGCATTAGGAAGGTTGAGATTGACTGTCCTACACAGAGACTCATCAGTAGTCAATGTACAAACAGCATCTTATGTTTATTTTTGCCTGTATGTTTATGTTTTTTTCTTTTTTTTTTGGTTTTTTAAGACAGAGTTTCTCGGTGTAGCTTTATGCCTTTCCTGGAACTCACTCTGTAGCCCAGGCTGGCCTCAAACTCACAGAGATCCACCTGCCTCTGCCTCCCAAGTACTGGGATTAAAGGCGTGTGCTGTGGGATGTCCTGTATGTCAAATGTGTTGCTGATTAGTCAATAATTAAAACACTGATTGGCCATTGGCTAGGCAGGAAGTGTAGGCGGGACAAGGAGGAGAATAAAGCTGGGAAGTGGAAGACTGAGTCAGAGAGACACTGCCAGCCACCACGATGAGAAACAGCATGTGAAGATGCCAGTAAGCCACGAGCCATGTGGCAAGGTATAGATTAATGGAGATGGATTAATTTAAGCTGTAAGAACAGTTAGCAAGAAGCCTGCCACGGCCATACAGTTTGTAACCAATATAAGTCTGTGTTTACTTGGTCGGGTCTGAGCGACTGTGGGACTGGCAGGTGATAGAGATTTGTCCTGACTGTGGGCCAGGCAGGAAAACTCTAGCTACAGGCGTGTGCCAGCACTGCCCGGGCGTTTTTTACTTTTCTAAAAACTTAATAATTTATTAATTATTTTATATTCTTACCACAGTTTTCTCTCCCTCTTTTCTTCCAATTCCCTCCCCAATTTCCCTCCACACCCCAGTGCACTCCCCCTCTGTCTCGATTAAGAAATGGTCCAGCCTCCAATGCATATCAGCATACCAGACATATCATGTGCTGTAAGACTAGCAACCTCCCCATGTAATTACATGAAGCAAGGCAATCCAGTAAGAGGAATAGGCTCCAAAGAGCCAACCAAAGCATTAGGGACAGACTCTGCTCCCATTGTTAAGAGTTAGACAAATAGACACACTACAGAATTGTTACATATATGTAGAGGGCTGAGTGAGGGTCTCATGTAGTCTCCCTGGTTGATGGTTTAGAGTGTGAGTTCCTATGAGTAAGAATAGAGGAAGAAAGAATTGTAAGAACCAGGGGGATCAAGCAATATTCTATCTTAGTGAGAAAATGGAGACATAATTTACTTAAATAATAAATTGTTATCTCCTTTTTTTGGACTTCATAATATTGCTCTTTGCATTTGATTATTTCTACTGTTATAGTTTTCTATAAAATCTAGTTTTAATTAAAACGATATGTTGTTGTTAGCACTGACATTTATGTAACAACTAATCTTCATAATGCCTTCCTCATATTTAATGAAGATTCAACTCATCAAGGCAAATATAAATAAACCAAAGGTATAATACATTTATTTGTACTCATAAAAACAAGGAATCAAAATGAGGTTAAAACAATCATTAATATACACTTTTCAAAATCTAAAATACTGGAAATATAAGTGATATAGAATACAATAATATCACACAAAATAAAACATCATCTTCAACAAATTGCATAAAGTTATTATGTAGTTACTTTGACTTTGTATTGCAGTCAATAATCATCTATTAGCAAGAATTCTGTTTCACATTGCCATTGCTTTATTATTTTCAAACAAGAACCCTTTGTACTTAATGAGCTGATGTTTAAATAATATGCATAGATATTTTTTCAATAAGCATTTAGTAATTATAGGGTCTACTTCTGAATAAACACTTCAAAATTTGCCTCAAGGGTAGAGGTTCCTAAAGTGATACTTGTTTTATTGTATAAAAAGTGAATATTGATCAAAGATTTTGTGTATTCCACACATTTAGAAGAAAATTTTATTGGAAAAATATATGATAATAAAGTAAAGCTGATAATTATTAGAGAAGTTCTTTCTGTTTCTTTCTTGTGAGTTTTCTGGTGCTTTCCTTTTCCACATGCTTCATACTTGTAAAGTTTCTCTCTAGTATGGGTTCAGGGAAGAGAAAGAAGTGTTGGGGATTTGGTAAAGGAATTTTCACGTTTTTTACATTTATATGCCTTAATTTAGGTACAAGTTCTGTGATGATCATTAACAGAAAAGCAACGGGAAAATGATTTGATGCATTTTAACATTTGTATAGTATGTCTCTAGTATGAATTTTATGATGAGCATGAAGAGAGGAAACATGCCTAAAGTGCTTTTCACATTCATCACATTTATACATTTTTTCTCCAGTATGGATTCTCCTATGACATTGAAGACTGGAGGACATGACAAATGACTTTCCACATTCATCACATTTATAAGGTTTCTCCCCAGTATGGGTTCTCCTATGACATTGAAGATGGGAGGAGTTAACAAAGGACTTTCCACATTCATTCATTTATAAGATTTTTCTCCAGTATGGATTCTCTGATGAACATGAAGAGATGATCTATCCCTAAAGTACTTTCCACAGTCATCACATTTATAAGGTCTCTCTCCAGTATGGATTCTCCTATGATATTGAAGATTGGAGGACTTAATAAAGGACTTTCCACATTCATCACATTTATAAGGTTTCTCTCCAGTATGGGTTCTCCTATGACATTGAAGATGGGAGGACTTACCAAAGGACTTTCCACAGTCATCACATTTATAAGGTTTTTCTCCAGTATGGATTCTCTGATGAACATGAAGAGATGATCTATCCCTAAAGTACTTTCCACAGTCATCACATTTATAAGGTCTCTCTCCAGTATGGATTCTCCTATGACATTGAAGATTGGAGGACTGAACAAAGGACTTTCCACATTCATCACATTTATAAGGTTTCTCTCCAGTATGGGTTCTCCTATGACATTGAAGATGGGAGGACTGGACAAAGGACTTTCCACAGTCATCACATTTATAAGGTTTCTCTCCAGTATGGATTCTCTGATGAACATGAAGCGATGAGCACCTAGTAAAGTGCTTTCTACATTTATCACATTTATAAGGTTTCTTCCTCACGTGGATTCTGTGGTGAACTTTAAGGGATAAACTTTTCCTAAAGGATTTTCCACATTCTTCACATTTATAAGGGTTCTCTCTCATATGGATTCTATGATGAATATGAAGGTATGAAAGTTTGCTATAGGACTTTCCACAATCATTACATCTGTATCGTTTCTTTTCTGCAGTGTGACTTGAATCATTCTGAATGATATTTGAATTGAAATCAAAGAATTTATCACATACTTTAATCTGGCAAAAATTTATTCCTGTATGCTTTATATTATCCATAGCCAGATTTGTGGATTCAATTGTGACCTTCTTGCATGCATCACCTCTGAGTCTCTCATAAATTTTTTGAGTACTAGTTTCATTATACTGAATACAGTTTGAGAATTCATTAAGAATTTGGTTATGGTGTTTGCTTGTCCTGTGCTTCTCTTGGCTATGTTCATGTTTGTGCAAAGAAGTGTTTGAGTACTTATTAAAAACTTTCTGATGTTCATGGATTTCAAAATGATTATCTGTTGAGTAAGTATTTATGAAAGAATTACTAGGAATTACATCATTAGTAGAGTAAGTCCATGAGTCCTTGCCATTAAACGGTATTTCAATCTGACTATTCTGGTAATTATTTACCAAAGAAAACTTAGCAAGGTCATTATCAACATTACTAAATATATTGGAATTTTCACAATTTCTTTTCTTATGATACATATTATGCCACATTTCATTCCTAAAATATTTATGTTGATCTAAATTGTGGAAGTTGTCATATAGTGGAAGTAATTGTTCAGGAACCTCTTCTGAATTTTGAGTATAGGAAATACCATACTGCTGACAATTCAAATATTTTTCTGTGTTTAAAGCACTCCTTTCTTCAGGGACTATTGGAGTATAATTTAATTGCACAACACTTGAAAAGTGTAGCAAAGACTTTGAAGTGTTACACTGTGTGTCCCCTTGTGAAGTTTCCATATATCCATGTAGAGTATAACCAGGAGTCCATGCTTGGTGTGAAAATTTTTCCCTATAATCATTTGATTCTGAACTTGTAACTGACACAGAGTATGTTCTTTTTGGACACACTACAGGTTCTTGATGATTTTCATAAGTAATGCCTTTGACATGTTTCTCATAAACATCCCTCTCATTATAACATGATTCATATTCTCTCTTGTCACCATGATAATTCCAGAACTTCCTTGTATGTAACATGTCAAGACCAATAGTTTCAAATAAGCATGCTCCTTCTTCCTGTAAAGAATCTTGTTTGTACTTCTGTTGGGAGACCTCCTGGGTCTGGTAAAATGATAGAGCTGAAAGAAATGAAAAGAAACACACTCTTGATTTGCACAATAATTTGAAAACAATATGAGAGTATAATGCATAAAACAACAGCTGTCTGGGGAATATGTCAAGTTTGTATCATAGAAATTTTTCAAAGTTTTGCTGTAGGAAATAAATCTGCTTATGAAAAATGACAGAAATTCATGGAATGTTTGACCTTCATAAGGTCATGTAACAGGCAAACATAGACACAGTTTCAGAAAAATATTGGAGCTCTCTCCCACTTGCCATGTGCATGAGGAACACGTCTATTGTATTCCCTGCTATGATTCTTTCTGCTTACACAATCATAATCCAAGAGATCACACTTTTTTGTTGACTCTACTCCTCCTTGTGAAAATCCACTTCTTTCCCATTTCCTTAACAGGGCAACTTGGATTGCACCCCAAATCATTTTCTCCCACAAAGACAGCATACACCAGAACCTGCTCAATCATGTCTGCCATCTGTTCTGTACTATTACTATCCTCCATAAGAGTGAGTAAGTAGGTTGTTGCCAGCATATCCTCTCATCTACACAAAACAGTTGAATAAATAATTTAAAATCACCAGACTCTGTGTAATTTCCTGAACACATGGTCAAGATAGAAACTACAACCTGTCCTGCTAACTCTTACAAAAACTATGAAGGGCCCTAATATTCTCCTATTACTGGCAAGGGAGCACAGGACACATCCAATTCTCCTTCATGCAAATCATCAGCACTTTTGATCCCATTCTGGCAACATACATTTTACACTTGTTATCAGACCGGTGATTCCACAAAATCCCCTCATCTATATTCCCTCACCAATCCATCGTTCTAGCCTGTATTCTACTCTATGTGCCCATATTTAGACTGATAATCTCTGTCCAGAATACTACATTCACCCTTACAATGGGATGCCCATCTTGTAATTCTGCCCATCCCCTGTGCCTTCTTGACACCCCACCACCCTTGCTATATGTAGCCTTCACACATAAGCTTCCCTGTATTTATTATTGCCTGTTAAGTCTTCATTGTGCATAAAAGACACAGAAATTACAAAAGAGTTCACAGGACCAATTTTGATCACAAGAACATGATTACTATATATGATAGTTTGAATAACAATGTTCCCTAAAGGTCACACACTTGACAACTTTGTTTTCATGTAGCCACATTATTTGACTCAAAGTATGGTGTTAATGCATAAAATGTGGGACTGAGTTGGGACTTTTAAATGTAGGAACTACACACTATCTTTAGTTTCCTTTCTGGTGCTGGCTTGAAATTTGACATTTGTACGTTACTTGTTCTTTCTACAACATTTACTGCCTCTTGACTTCATCCCATTACATAATGGAGTCTTATTCTCATGGTACTTTAACCCAATGAAACTCTTAGTTTTACACATTTTTCTGTTAATGGTTTTTAATCAAAATAATAGAAAATCACTGGAGAGATGGCTCAGAGGTTAGGAGCACTGACTGTTCTTCAAGAGGTCCTGAGTTCAATTCCCAGCAACCACATGGTGGCTCCTAACCATCTATAAAGAAATCTGATGCCCTCTTCTAGAATGAAGGAAAACATGTAGACAGAATACTGTATACATAATAAATAAAATTTAAAAAAAAGAAAAATGACATTTAGAATATAAAGAATAACGCCAGCATTTTACCCCTGCCCCCAAAGTCTATCAGTCTCATAGAAGTATTCTTCAATCCATAATTACCATGGTAGAGAAGATGGAAGAATTATCATAAACACTATTAAAGTAGATAAAGTGCTTAAATTAGACAAACAGCCCAATAAATTTAATGAGGAGAACCTAAAAAACCTGAGTGATGTAAGAGACCACAAAGACATAAATGAAGACAGTCCAGTCTCAAAAAAATTCCAGAAAAGTATAGATTTATTGATGAGAACTCAGTCTAAAGTGAAGTTGTAACAGGAAACTAATTAGAAAAGTCAAGATAAAGCTTTATATGTAAGACAGAAAAACAGCAAATATAATATCAAAACTCAATAAAAACAAGAAGAGTAATTTAACTGCATATCAGAAACAGACACATATATATTTGTATTTTTAAATATAACACTAAAAATATTACACAGGTAACGATCAACACCATAGTAATGTGAATATGTGTGTGTGTGTGTGTGTGTGTGTGTGTGTGTGTGTGTGTGTGTGTGTGTGTAAGATAAGAATCTTACCTCAATGGCATATATAAAATCTTCCCCAAGATGATGAAAGACAAATTTGCCAAACTCAAGAAAGTCATAACATTGCAGATACTGGAAAAATTCACAACACCAAATAGGCAAAAATATAAAAAGAAATACCACACTGAAAGCACTAGTTAATATACAAAACAAAACAAGAACATTAAAATATGAAGATGGGTGGCTTGGGAGATGGCAAAATGTTTAAGAACACTGGCTACTTTTCCAGAGTACCCAGGTTCCATTCCCAGCACCCACATGGCAGTTCACAGCTGTCTGTAACTCCAGTTCCAGGAGATCTGACACCTTCACACCAATGCACATAAAATAAAATTAAATAAATTATAAAAAAAAATAAAATATGAAGAAGGCAATTAAATGTCTCATGTAAAGGAAAGCCCATTAGAATAACCGCTGATTTCAGAGGAGAAGGTACTAACCAAAAGAGCCAGGGACAGTGCAATTCTAAAGAGAATAAGGGCCTATACTGACTACTGTAGTGAGCAAAACTGTCTGCTATAATTGAAGGACAAAGGAATTTTTTATGAATTAGAAGATATGAAATGATTCATAACATGCACACCAATAGAAAACAAGAGACAGGAAACAGCATTTAAGACTGACAGGCAACTCCAGCCAGAACAGCAGATATACTAACTGCAGACCGTCACCTCAACTTTTCTTTTCTTAATCCAATCCCACAGTACCATCTTCAGCTCTGATTAAATGGCCTGCTGCAGGTTCCCTGCTGCCTGTGATTTCATCTCCATTGGTTAAAACACATCTTCCAATTCTAACACCATTTTTCACAACCTTTCTTGATCTCAGCACCCAACTCTGGCAGGAATTCCCTGGAACTCCAGAGCCCCTCCTGCCAGGTAAGAAGTAAACTCCAGGACTTCACCTCTCACCATGGCTCTTTAAGTCCAATGTAATAGATTCAGTCCAAGCTCTGTAACAGAACTGCAGCAGCCTCATCCTTCCCTATGTCAGAGAATCCCACAACCCATCCCTGAACCTTCCTTCTATTCCTGATTGCATTGTCCATACTCCAAATCCAGCAGAAACAAAGACTCAGTAACCCAACTCAGAAGGGAAGCAGGGATGCAAATTGCTGATTTTCACCTTTTTCTCTGCTCTTCTAAGTCTATCTCCCAAGACTCATCCCCAGATCTGTAAGAAAACACAACAACTTCTGAAGACATTTCTTCCCTCCTGCACTAATCTAAATAGGATCACACAGAATTCTCCACCCAAATTTTCATCTCATAACTCATTGATTTGTTCCTA